CTTTAGGTATAAGTTTTTCTCAATCATCAAGATTCCATAGAAATTCACCCAAGTTGTTGCATGTACCAGTAGTTGGCTCCTTTTTATTGATGTATAGTATTCTATGATATAGATGCACCAGTATTTGCTTAATTACTCACCTACTGAAAGACAACTAAGTTATTTCCAGTTTGGTCTATTTTGAACAAAGCTGCTATGAACATTTGTTTAGAAGTTTTTAAGTGAAAATAAATTTCCGCTTCTTTGGGATAAATGCCCAGATGTGTAATTTCTGGATCATCTTGTAGTTGTATATTTTATGTTTTAAGAAACTGCCAAATAATTATGTAAAACAGTGGCTATACTGTTTTACATTCTCACCAGCAAGGTGTGAATGATTCTGTTTCTATACACCCTTGCCAGCATTAGGTGTTTTCACTATTTATTTTTCTATTGCCCTTGTAAAAGATATGTAGTGATATCTCATTGTGATTTGCATATTTTCAATGATTAATGATGCTGAACATCTTTTCATATGTTTAGCTGATACCCAAATATCATCTTCAGTGAATTATCTGTCTTTTGCCCATTTTCTAATTGGAATGTGTAATTTGTCTTTGTTTGTTTTCATTTATTTTTTACTATTGAGTTTTGAGAGTTCTTTATATATTCTAAATACTAATGTTTTGTCAGGTACATGTTTTGCAAATATTTTCCCTAGCATGTAGCCTGTCTTTTCATCTTCTTCACATGGTCTTACACAAGGCAAAATTTTCTACTTTGATGAGGTCCATTTTATCAATACTTGATTTTATAATTCAAGCTTTTGGTGTCAGTTCTAAGGAATTATTTGCCTAAACCTAATCCTGAAGATTTTCTCCTACTGTTTTTTAAAAGTTTGTAACGTTAAATTTAAATTCATTATCTATTTTGAGTTACTTTTTATAGGTTGTGAATTTAGGTTGAGATTCCTCCTTGTCTTTGTTGTTCAGTTGCTGAGTCATGTCTGACTGACTCTCTGTGATCCGGTGGACTGCAGCATGCCAGGATTTCCTATCCCAGAATTTGTTCAAACTCATGTCCATTGAGCTGGTGATGCTATCTAACCATCTCATCCTCTCCCTCCCCTTTCTCCTTTTGCCTTTAATCTTTCCAAGCATCAGGGTTTTTCCAATGAGTTAGCCCTTCCCATCAGGTAGTCAAAGCACTGGAGCTTCAGTATCAGTCCTTCCAATGAATATTCAGGCTTGATTTCCTTTAGGATTGACTGGTTAGGATCTCCTGCTGTCCAAGAGATTCTCAGCAGTCTTCTCCAGCACCACAATTTGAATGCATCAATTCTTCAGCACTCAGCATTCTTTATGGTCCAACTCTCTCATCTGTACATAGCTACTGGAAGAACCATAGCTTTGACTATAAAGACCTTTGTTGGCAAAGTGATGTCTCTGTTTTTTGCTATGCTGGCTAGGTTTGCCATAGCTTTTCTTCCTGGGAGCAAGCGTCTTTTGATTTCATGGCTGCAGTCACTGTCCACAGTGATTCTGGAGCCCAAGAAAATAAACTCTGTCACTGTTTCCACTTTTCCCCTTCTATTTGCCATGGAGTGATGGGATTACCCTGGAATGGGAAGCTATGATCTTAATTTTTTAATGTTGAGTTTTAAGCCAGATTCTTTTCTCTCCTCTTTTATCCTCATCAGTAAGTACCTTAGCTCACTTTCTGCCATTAGAGTGGTATCATATGCATATCTGAAGTTGTTCAGTGCCATTTGTTTAAAAGGTTATCCTTCCTTCACTGAATTGCTTTTGTACCTTTGTCAAAAAATTGGTTGGGCATATTTGTGTAGGTCTATTTTTTGGTTCTCTATTCTCTAACATAATCTACCATGTCTATTCTACCAACGCTACACTCTCTTGGTTACTGTAGCTATTAGTGTTGAAATCTGGGTAGACTTATTGTTAAAACTTTATTCTATTTCACATTTATTTTAGTTGTTCTCACATACTCATTTGATTTTGACCTGTCCTAAAGCCTCTGCAGATGAGGACTGTACTTGTGGCCCTAGAGAGCTCCATAATGGCAAACTGAAATGAGTTGATGTACCAGGAATTAATCACCAACTCTCAAGACAGTGTAAAAGGCAAATATAAAGTGAAAAGGCCTTCCTTGGAGCTAGGCTCTGTCCTATGCTTTTCTTCAGCCAGGCTTCCCTCCCCCACTACAGTAGACTAAGTGAATAAGGCCCCATGCCATTATGGATTTCCATGGTGGCTCATGTGACTTGGAGAAGGAAATGGCAACCCACTCCAGTATCCTTGCCTGGAGAATTCCATGGACAGAAGAGCCTAGTGGGCTATAGTCCACAGGGTCACAAAGAATTGGACATGACTAAGTGACTAACACATTCATGGTGGCTCAGACAGTAAAGAATCTGCCTGAAATGCAGGAAACCTGGGTCAGGAAGATTCCCTAGAGAAGAGAATGGCTATCCACTCCAGTATTCTTACTTGGATAATTCCATGGACAGGCCATGACAAGCTACAGTCCATGGAGCTGCAAAGAGTCAGACACAATTGAGTAACACTTCACCTCACATGGCATTATAGATTATGTTGGAATCTATATTAAATCTGAATTAGAGAAATGATAACAAAAGTGTTGCTTATCACTTCCAGAAAGGTGTCATTGGAAGGATTAAGAAAGCTGGCTTTCTTAGGTATCTAGGAAAACTCACTTGCTCTTCCCATATGTGTGTGTGTGTGTGTTAGTCATTCAGTTGTGTCTGACTCTTTGCGACCACATGGATTGTAGTGGAAATCACTTCTACACATGTAGTGCCCATGAGTCTCAAATATATCAGTCACCGCAGTCCTGGACTAGGAGGGCCTAGAAAATTGAAACAGAAATAATGGAGGAAAGTGTTAGGAATTCAGTGGTTTGAAACCAGGTAAGTTTATTTGAAGACTAGATGGAAAGCTATTCAGGTGAACAATTGTTTAGACACTGGGAGACAAAAAGAGGACCTGCAAGGGATAGTCTTCAGACAAGGCAGAGAAGGAATGTGACACAAAGGCTTGGTATGAGTGAGTAGGCCTGTTTTCTAATTGCTTTGTGCATGTTCTTCTGCTTTAAGGTTTCTCAGTGGAAAAATAAGCCAGTCTCAGATAGACTTGGGAGAACTTGGGCTGATGTAAAGGAATACCATCCCATTACAAAGGTCAATGTGGTAGGGGCAGTGGAAGGATTCAGAATGAGAGAAGTTAAAGAGGAAAGAGCCTCCAGGAGACAAGAGGTGTGCCACTAGGACAGTAGCCCCTTTGTAGCCCAAAGACTGTCCAGGTAGTTGGGGCTCAAATCTCTAAGGAATAAGCACATTTTCTCAAAGGATTCTCCTATCCATATAGATCATAGACTTAGTGTAATTAACTCCAGATTACTTTCTAACACTGTCCTGTTTTCACCACCAAGGAGTTAGGAGTGGTTGCCTTTAATTTCCTACCTAAAGCAAATCACATTTCCATGACAAGTGCAAGTGTCAGTGAGCGTCTTCAAAGACTAAGAAGCAATAAGAAGTTAAAAGGAAGGCCATGACTAGCTGGATGCCCAAGCTAGGTGCGCTGATCAACTGGAAATCAGATATCCACAGGCACTAAACCTATTCAATAAAAAGGAACTTCATTGGGAATAATTAAGGGTGCATTATGTGACTGCTAGAATTTCAGGCAACTTGAATCTGATCACTTAAATGGTCACTCATTGTAAATCAGAGAGCCCTTTAAGAGAGCACAAGGAAAGGCCTAAGGAAAATGAAGTCTCACTAAGATTGCCTACCCTGAGGAGAATGATAATGGCTGTCAGTAATAGAAACAGCTGTCAGTGGTTGAGGTAAGACCAAAAAAATGAGCAGTTCTTAACTAGCATGAAGAAGACTTCCCTGGTGGCTCAGATGGTAAAAGCATCTGCCTACAATGCAGGAGACCTGGGTTCGATCCCTGAGTTGGGAAGATCACCTGGAGAAGGAAATGGCAACCCACTCCAGTATTCTTGCCTGGAAAATCCCATGGAAGGAGGAACCTGGTAGGCTACAGTCCATGGGGCCGCAAAGAGTCAGACACGACTGAGCGACTTCACTCACTCACTAACTAGCATGAAGGATCAACAGAACCCTGAGGTGGAGAGGAGGGAGCAGTAGACTTAGAAACAAGCTGACTTAAGTTCAGAGTCACTTTATGCCAAATATCCTGTTTCTTCTTCTGGAAAATGAGACTAATAATGTCTACCTTTTCAGGGGTATCATAAAAGCAAAACACAAGAACTTACATAAAATGACTGGTACTGAATAGCTTCTTGAATAAACAGAGGGTAGTTCCTTCCCTTTGTTCAATTAAGCATTTTAATGTTTTTTAGTTCATGAAAATGAGAAAATAAAGCTTCACTTCATATTCAAGTTGATTTCCAAGGTATTTTTCTTTTTAAAATACTTTAATTTATGATTCAAAAAGAGAACACATATCTTAATCTTCTGTCTAGGTTCAGTTTGAAGTCCTCCATTCTGATTTGGGGTTTATGATTTGACAAATTCCCCCAATCCAATGAAAGAGGTTATATGAATATCCCTAATATATATGTGTGTGTGTGTGTGTGTGTATGTGTGTGTGTGTGTTAACAAATTCCATATATTTAATATTGCCCAACTGTTTCTAAATTGTTAATAAAGTTTAGTTTCTCACTTTTATTTAAGTGAAAATAAAAGAAACAAAGGTTCTATTTTTTTCCTGTACCCAATGAGCTATCTGTGGACATGGCAACCTTAAATTATTCACTCCTAAGCCTTAAGTCTTTTAAAGATCATTTACCACTTATCATCAGAGACACCTGGGAATCTGGACATTTACCATGACCCTAAGTGAACTTTAGCATGGAAACAAGCATAGGAATATGCAAACACATAGCTTATGGCTTTTCAGTCTCACAATGAGAGTGAATGAGGTCAGGGAGGTTGTAGTTAAAGCCAGTTTTACCTTTTTGTTTAGAGACTTTTCTCACAGTCATTGCAGCCTGCCTCTTCTGGTTTTCAGAAATCTCAAACCCTATAACATAAAAATAAATCATTTTGTTATGAGTAACATAGACCTTTTTTAAAACATATAAATTAGTACAACTTTTCTGGGAGAGTAATATTAAGACTTACCTACAACAATGCATTTCAATGTATAGAGGGACAAAAAGGTGAGAACATGAGTTAAGAGGTCATTAAATGGAGAGTGGTTGAATAAAATATGGTGAAAAGTGGAAAGACATTTCACAATCAAAAGCAAAAATACAAAGAAAAATGAGTTTAAAAAAATAAGAGATTACAGCAGAAAATATATATAGACTTAAGGAAAGTTTTACAAGGAGGAAAAAAAAATGAATGGCATAAAGTAATTAAAGAAATAATCAAAATATCTGTGGAAGTTCTTTGCCAATTTTTAACTGAGTTTTGGGTTTTAACTAACTGAGTTGTAGAAGTTCCTTATATATTTTAGAAATTATCACATGTATGGTTTGAAAATATTTTCTCCCATTTAACAGGTTGCTTTTTTGTGCTGTTGTTTTTTCTTTTGCTGTGCAAAGGCTTTTTGGTTTGATGTTGTCTATTTTTGCTTTCCTGTCCATGTTTTTGGTGTCATATCCAAAAAATCATTGCCAAGACCAACATCAAGAAATATTTCCCCAAGGTTTTTGTCTAGGATTTTTATAGTTTCGAGTCACATGTTCAAGTCTTCAGTCTACTTTGAACTGATTTTCATGTATGACATAAAGTAGTTCAATTTTATTCTTTTTCATGTGTATATACAGCTTTCACATCATTCATTGAAGAAATCACCCTTTCCCAATTGTGTATTTTTGTAATACTTGTTGAAAATATGTTGGATATATACATGTAGGTGTTTTTCTGAGCTCCCTATCCTATTGCATTCATCTACATGTCTGTCTTTATGCCAGCACCAAACTGTTTTAATTATTATAGCTTTGTAATATATTTTGAATTAGGAATTGTGATGTCTCCAGCTTTGTTTTTCTCTCTCATGGATATACTGTGTATTCCCATGAATTTTAGGATTGTTCTTTTTTTCCCTGTTTCCATAAAAAATGCTACTGGAGTTTTAATAGGAGCACATTGAATCTATAGATGGACTTCAGTAAAATGAACATGTTATTAACATTGTCTTCCATTCCAAGAATACAAAATGTCTATTTACTTATGTCTTCTTTAATTTCTTTCAGTAATATTTTGTAGTTTTCAGTGTACCAGTATTTTAACTCTTTGGTTAAGTTTATATCTAACTATTGTATTCTTTTTGAAGCAATTGTAAATGAGATTGCTTGCTTAATTTCTTTTTCATATAGTTTGCTGTTAGTACATAGAAACACAATTTACTTTTGTGTATTGATTTTGTATCCTACAAATGAATTCATTTATTAGATGTAAAAGCTGTTTGTGGAGTCTTTAGGGTTTTTACGTATAAGATGATCTCATCTGCAAACAGGAATAAGTTTACTTTCTCTTTCCTAATTTGGAGGAATTAATAGTTAAGCCTAATTGATCTAGCTAGGACTTCCACTACTACGTTGACTAGAAGTGGTGAATGTAAACATCTCTTGTTCCTGATCTTAAGAGAAAAAGCTTTCAGCTTTCCCCGCCTAAGTATAATATTAGCTATGAGCCTTGTGTGCCTTCAATATATGGTTTATATGTTGAGGTAAATTCCTTCTATACCTTGTCAATAGTTTTTATCATAAAAGTGTGTTGAATTTTTTCACATGGTTTTTCTGCATCTATAAAGATGAGCATGTGACTCTTTCCCTTCATTTTGTTAGTGTGGTGTATCACATTAATTGATTTACATATGTTAAACCATTCTTGTATCCCAGATAAATCCCACTTGGTCATGGTGTCTGATCCTCTTATTGTATTGTTGAATTTTTTTTTCCAGTGATTTACAGAGGACTTTCCCATGGATTTTGTTACAGATATTGATTTATAGTTTACCTTTCTTGTATTGGAAGGCTTGATATTGTTAAATATCCATTCTGACTTGAAGGTATCTATAGAGTCAATGCAATTCTATCAAAACCCCAATGGCTTTTTTTTTTTTTTTTTACAGAAACAGAAATAGCAAGCCTAAAATTTATGTGGAAACATAAAAGACCCATAATAGCTAAACCAATCTTGAGAAAGAAGGACAAAGCTGGAGACTTCACAATTCCTGATTAAAAATATATTATGAAGCTCCAGTAATTAAAATAGTATTGTATGGCATAAATAGAGACATACAGATCAATGGACTAGGATAGAGGGCCAGAAATAAACCCACACATATATCTTTGACAAGGCTGCCAAGAATACACAATGGGGAAAGGATAGTTTCCTCAACAAATCATTTTGTGAAAATTGGATATCCACATGCAAAAGAATGAAATTGAACTTCTATCTTATGCCATACATGAAAATCAACATAAAGTGGACTGAAGACTTAAATGTATGACTTGTAATTGTAAAACTCCTAGAAGAAAAAAAGGGAAAAATCTTCTTGACAATGATTTCTTCAACACCAAAAGCACTGGCAACAAAGCAAAAGCAGACAAATAGGACTACATCAAACTAAAATGATTCTGCACAGCAAAGAAAAGAAACAACATATTAAAAAGGCAATCTATTGCACTCCAGTATTATTGCCTGGAAAATCCCATGGAGAGAGGAGCCTGGTGGGCTATAGTCCCTGGGGTCCCAAAGAGTCAGACATGACTGAGCATGCACACACACACACTGAAGTTCACTGAGCTCAGTCAAGAATTTTCTTAAAAAAAAAAAAAAAAAGGCAATCTATAGAATGGGAGAAAATATTTGGAAACCATATATCTAAGGGCTTAATTTCCAAAATATACAAGAAACTTCTCTGCTCAGTAGTAAAAATAATGAAAAACAAACAAACAAAAAAACCATATAGCGATTAAAAAGAATGGTCAAAGGACTTGCATAGACATGTTCTCAAAGAAGTCATAAAAATGGCAAACAGGTATATAAAAGAATTCTCCACATCACTAATTATCAGGGAAATCCAAATCTTAACCATAATAAGATATCACTTCACTCCTGTTTAGAGAGCTATTCTCAAAGAAACAAAAGATGATTAGTATTGGCAAGAATGTAGAGAAACCGGACCCACAGCAAACTGTTAGGAATTAAAATGATTTAGTCACTATGGAAAACTACCATATGATCCAGCAATCTCACTTCTGGCTATATGTTCAAAATAATTGAAATCAGGATCTTGAAGAGATATCAGTACTCTCATATTCATTGTAGCATTATTCCCAATTAGCCGTGATAATTGAAACAATCTAAATGTCTGAGGATGGATAAAGGGATAAAGAAAATGTGGCATGTATTTTTTTGTATACACACACACACACACACACACACACACACACACACAAGAATATTATTCAGCCCTAAAAAGAATGGGAATTCTGCCATATGTGATGACATGGATAAATCTGGAGGACATTTGCTACTTAAAATAATGTAGTCACAGAAGGACAAATTCTATATTTGTATGAATATGAGGTGTCTCAACTAGTCAAACTCATAAACAGAGAGCAGAATGGTGATTCCAGAGAGAATCACCAGAGAAAACAGGGAGCTGATTTTCTATAGCTATAAAGTTTCATTTACATAAGATATGAATAAGTCCTAGAAACTTGTACAACAATAAGCCTACAGCTAAGATTAGTATATTGTGCCTTTAAAATTTAATTAGCCTCCAATTAAAATAAATAAATACATTAAAAAACAAATAAATAAAAGGAAAAAAAATTAAGTACAGAGCTCATGGTGTTTTTTCCAGTTAAAAAACTAAGGCTGAGGTCTCACTTAAAAGAAGAATTTTTTCTTTACAAACTTCAGACCTACAAGCCCTATCCAAAGACAGCTTTGGTCTATGTCCACAAGTTCAAGCCTACCCATGATGTTTGAACCTGAATGCCTGGAGTTGCTTAGCCAGCCTTCGCAATTACATAATGCAATTCTTATAATAAATTTCTTAATAATAATTTATCTCTTACTGGTTATGCTTCTCTTATTGAACCCTGACTGATACAAGGAGTAATAGTTAGATTCTGTATTCTTCAACTGGAGTGATTCTGATGATAAATTATGCTTAAGAAAGCAAGTTACAGAGTAATATGTATAGTATAATTTTTATATTTTAGTATAATATTTATATTTTTATAAATAAAATCTTATGTGTATATGTTTATATGAAGTTCAGATTAGTATGAAAAGAAACAATCAAATTAATACTGATTATCTTACACAGAATAGGAGCAACAGAGAAGGGAACAGAATGCTAAACTTTATTATATTTCCATAAGTGGAAATGGTTATTATGACTATGTATTTTATAATTAAAAAGTAAAAATAAAAAACAAAAATTATAGTAAATCCACATGACAGCCATAAAAATAATGATTAAAATAGTAAATGATTTAAAGAAATGATAATGATATAATTTTAAGTGACAAAGATATAAATTTATATCTGTCATGAAGTGGCAGAGGTTGGGGGAGAAAAAAATAAAGATTCAGGCACTCTAATTTTTTTTTTTTAATTTAGACACATAGGAAAGAAGATGGGAAGGAAATATACCAAAGTATTTATAAAATTTATCTCTGGGTAATATGTTCATGTGTGATTTTTAGGTGTTTTTTTCCTTGTATTTTTGTGTTTTTTCCCCAAAATTGCTTTCAAAGAAAATGACTTACTGTTACACTCAGACCAAATTCTTAATATTTTTAAAAAGATGACCCTTGGGAAGCAATTTCTGGAAGCTTTTCTACAGTGTGGGGGATATGTTGGAACCAGAGTGAATGGTATTAATCTTCTAGTTGATTTGGGTCTGCAAAAAGCACACTAAAACAATTCCTCTAATAGCACTAACAATCTAGGCAGTGTCAGAGATTGTTGGTTCCTTCCATTAGAAGAAGCAGCCAGTAGAATTTCTGTCATGATTCTACATCAGGTCCTAAAGCAGTGCCCAAATGCTAAAAGCAAACTGAATTCAATGGGACTTAAAGTGAATTATCAATAAGTACTCTACCCCAAACCTGAGAAGACTTAGATAAGACTATGCAGTGTCTTTCTGATGATTCTTCCTTGCCTCTGGACCATTTCAATTCCCAATACTTCAGATAGGAGAATATATTTATACCAGGACTCAAATGGTAGGTCCATTTTTTTAGAGGCAGTTTCTTCCAACTTGAATACAGATGTTTTGAGGTATAATTCTCCTCTCTTAGGGGTGAGGCAATACCAGAAACTCTGGTATCTTCTCAAGGAATTTCAAAGCCTGGCTTATTGTATTTTTATGTCAGAAAGGCAGGACCATGAGTAGGAGACCAGATAGTACTTTGTAAACCACAAGGTTAAATGCTGAATCCCACAGTTGGAAAGCAGTATAAAAAGTATCTCTACCAGCTATATTTCCTTTGGAAAGGAGAATAACTTATTTCAAATAAAAGAGTATGGTTTAGTGTGATTCTACATCATACAAATGGTCCTGGTTTTAAATCATGCAAGTGGCCCTATTTTATTTTCTATAATTTATTTTAAAATACTTTTATATAGAGAACATGATATATACAAGAACATTAATAGGGACATTTAGTTAACACCTAAAGTTATCTAATCAGGAATACACACTCAAGAAGTGATTTGTTAACATATTGAACATTCAGAAGTCTTTGCTCAAGAGGTCACAACTACCAGCAGTTCAGTCGCCTTAATTCAGGAGGCCTAATTAGTCTAATACATGTATGTGCCCTCTGCACAAATGTCATATAGGCACTTTAGCCTTCACAAGAACTGGGTATAAGAATCCAGTGAACCCTATAGCCTATATATATATATACTTCAGAAGGAAGCCTGAAATTTAAGATTGAAAATGGGTACTATATTTTGGCCTACTCAGAGGATTTTGTCACTAGACTTTGACTAAGAAGTTAGCTGAAAGTGAAAGTCCATCAGCCGCATCCGACTATTTGCAACCCCATGGACTGTATATAGTCCATTGAATTCTCCAGGCCAGAATACTGGAGTAGGTGCCCGTTCCCTTCTCCAAAATTACCAAATCTGCCTCGACTAACCTAAACTTTTCACAGAAGATGCTGTCATGTATCTAAGGACAGAGTTGCGACTTCGTTGAAATTACAGAACAGGCTGTATGACTGCTTTTGTGTTTGTTTGCTAATACACTTTTGTATGTTTGGGAGAATTGAGCCTGAGGTTTGATTTAAGTGTAACAATCTCACCTAGTAGTGATAATGTAGGGGAAATCAACCTCTAAGTATCACTTAACTCTGACTAATAGAAACTATTGTTATCTGCCAAAAGAACCTAATAATAGGAAACCACCAAAGTGGATTATGTCAGTTTGCAACACAAATCTCTTTGCCTCTAGAAAAGTGAAAACTAATTTAACTCTTCTATGTTCTTCATAGCCATATTCTTCTTTCTCCTCTCAGGTCACTTACCAATTTTTTCATCTTCCTGTACCATTTTCCTCTCTTCTCTGAAAGCTCTGAGCCAGCGTATCTTCTCCTCCAATTTCTTGGCAAAGAATAGATGTATCTCCTCAGTCTCTTTGTTGTGAAGCTTGAAGGCATTTTTCATGCTTACATTAAAGTCATCATCTCTGCCATCTTCAATGTCCACTACCTCATATTTATCCATATCAATGCGGCCTTTGTAGTACAGGATGTCTCTCCGGATCAGGTCCTAGACAGAAAGAAAGAGAAGGCTTTTTTGTTGGAGGTATGTGGAGAGTGAGTAAAAGGACAGTTGGCACACAGGTACAGCAGAATGCTAACATTGCCATTGTTCTGGTGTATCAGTGAGAGGTGCTTTGGCTTAAATCTGGGCAGGTTACCTTAGCTTATGACACTAACAGTTGACTAACTACATGCTATTAGAGAAATGCTCTGGCCTACATCCATGGATTTTGTCTCAGACCTCAGCCTCAACGCACATATGTGTTTACAACAAGACTGCTGATGTGAAGTTGGAAGCAGCAAGCTGCACAAGCACTGCTACAAAGGGCTTTTCCTCTTCCAAAATATTTGCAAGCCTTCCAGAAGTATGAAATGAACTGACTAGTTGCTGAAGTATACTCAGGAATCTAAGTAGGCCGTTGAGACTGGCATATCAGAGGGGGGATGAGTGATAAGAGTAGCTAGGTAGCCACAGGCCAGGAAGGATTACCTAGGGAAAGTTAAACACTTAGAATTCTGGGGTTTTTTTTGGAAAAGGACTTGTCTAGCAGGAGAAATGTAGGGAAAGTGAATAAAAGCTTCATATGTTGACATGGATGAATGTCACAAATCTTATTGCATGAGAAAAACAAAAGTTGTATGTCAGGAAGCATTTAACAAGAGGCTCCCTGTGTGCTGTTTTGGGTCTGTCAGGAACCCTCTGGCCCTTATTGATTCCTGAATATTCAGGAATTAAGAGGAGAGGCACATCTTTCCCTGGGCTGAGGAATCCAGGCATTTCTCATTACAGTGATAAGTACCATCTTCCTTCTTATGAAAAGGTGATTGTTTGCAACTCTCTCTTTGGTAGGATCCTCTTATGTTTTGTAAATCTGGAATTTTAATCTTTATCTTTGCTGAGAATAACTACAGTATATACGCCCATGTCATGTTTTAAAACACCATTGCTCCATTAGAGCTTTGGTCCCCGTGTCTGTCTGTCTGTCTGTCTGTCTTTCTTTCTGTCTTTCTTTCTATTCTTTCTGTCTTTCTCTCTCTCTCTCTATTTCTGGCTAATTCCTTGGAGCACGGAGGCCCGCTGAGCTCACTTTCTTGCCCAGGCTTCTAGGACCCTCTCAAGAAGGCGCACTGTGCCTTCACCCACTCGAGAGGGCACCCGGTGCCTACGTGCAGCAGCGCGAGCCCTAAGAACAGGACTCTAGTGGCTTCCCACGTAAACTAGGGGATATCAGCCTCTTTCTCTCTCTCACTTTCTTGTCGTCGACTCCAGACCACCAGGTTCAGGTCCATTAAAGGACCAACAGTTGTAGCTGGATACAAAGAATATATTGCCTATCCATTATGATTGATATTTTATTCTTGGGTATACGGAATTGAATTAAACCCAGTACATTAGACATTCATAATTACTCAATGTATAGTGCCCTTATGTTTCTATTCATTTACTTGCTTACTTACTTTTAATGATGTATTAAGTTTTGGTGAACGCACTGCCCATTCTAAAACCTATAGCACTAAGGCAGCCCACATATTAAATCACATGCTCATAATTCCCCTGCTTTCTATTTTATGTAATTTTATCTCATCTACATGTATTCTGTTATATAAAGTTTAAAAATACAAAACAATGCCACAGACTATTTAGGGATGTATACAAAAATTATGAGAAAAATACAACAATGATACATGTCAAATTCAAGGGAGTACAAAGAGGAGAATGGGGACAAGAGAGAAAGAGGGGAAATAGACGGAAGAGGGAGAGAAGGAAGACTATATTTATAATGATTTATTTCTTAAATTGAATGGTTTGTCTTGGAAACAAGCCGAGATCATTTTGTCATTATTGACATTGCATCCAAATACTGCATTTCAGAATCTTTTGTTGAATATGAGGGCTACTCCACTTCTTCTAAGGGATACAAAATAAAGCAGGGCAAAGGCTAATAGAGTTTTGCCAAGAGAATGCACTGGTCATAGAAAACACCCTCTACCAACAACACAAGAGATGACTCTACACATGACTCTACACTCTACACATCACCAGATGGTCAATCCTGAAATCAGATTGATTATATTCTTTGCAGCCAAAGACGGAAAAGCTCTATACAGTCAGCAAAAACAAGACTTGGAGCTGACTGTGGCTCAGATCATGAATTCCTTATTGCCAAATTCAGACTTAATTTGAAGAAAGTAGGGGAAACCATTAGACCATTCAGGTATGACCTAAATCAAATCCCTTACGATTATACAGTGGAAGTGACAAACAGATTCAAGGGATTCGATCTGATGGACAGAGTGCCTGAAGAACTATGGATGGAGGTTCATGACATTGTATAGGAAGCAGTGATCAAGACCATCCTCAAGAAAAAGAAATGCAAAAAGGCAAAAGGGTTGTCCGAGGAGGCCTTACAAATAGCTGAGAAAAGGAGAGAAGCTAAAGGCAAAGGAGAAAAAAAAAAGACATACCCATTTGAATGCAGAGTTCCAAGTGGCAAGGAGAATAAGAAAGCCTTCCTCAGTGATCAATGCAAAGAAATAGAGGAAAACAACAGGATGGGAGAGACTAGAGATCTCTTCAAGAAAATTAGAGATACCAAGGGAACATTTCATGCAAAGTGAAAGTGAAGTCACTCAGTCGTGTCCTCTTTGCATGTCAGTCGTGACTCTTTGCGACCCCATGGACTGTAGCCTACCAGACTCCTCTGTCCATGGGATTTTCCAGGCAAGAGTACATGGGCACAATAAAGGACAGAAATGGTATGGACCTAACAGAAACAGAAGATATTAAGAAGAGGTGGCAAGAATATACAGAACTATACAAACAAGATCTTAATGACCCATATAACCATGATAGTGTGATCATTCACCTAGAGCCAGACATCCTGGAATGTGAAGTCAAGTGGGCCTTAGGAAGCAACACTACCAACAAAGCTAGTGGAGGTGATGGGATTCCAGTTGAGCTATTTCAAGTCCTAATAGATGATGCTTTGAAACTGTTGTACTCAATATCCCAGCAAATCTGGAAAACTCAGCAGTGGCCACAGGACTGGAAAAGGTCAGTTTTCATTCCAGTCCCAAAGAAAAGCAAAGCCAAGGAATGTTCAAACTACTGCACAGTTGCCCTCATCTCACACGCTAGCAAAGTAATGCTCAAAATTCTTCAAGCCAGGCTTCAACAGTACATGAACACTGAACTTTCAGATGTTCAAGCTGGATTTAGAAAAGGCAGAGGAACCAGAGATCAAATTGCCAACATCCGTTGGGTCATGGAGAAAGCAAGAGCATCCCAGAAAAACATCTACGTATGCATTGTTGACTATACCAAAGCCTTTGAATGTGTGGATCACAACAAACTGTGGAAAATTCTTAAAGAGATGGGAATACCAGACCACCTTACCTGCCTCCTGAGAAATCTGTATGCAGGTCAAGAAGCAACAGTTAGAGCTGGACATGGAACAATAGACTGGTTACAAATTGGGAAAGGAGTATGTCAAGGCTGTATATTATCAGCAATTCCTGCTTACTTAACTTACATGCAGAGTCCATCATGCAAACTGCCAGGCTGGATGAAGCAAAATTTGGAATCAGGATTGCCAGGAGAAATATCAATAACCTCAGATATGCAGATGATGCCACCCTTATGGCAGAAAGTGAAGAAGAACTAAAGAGCTTCTTGATGAAAGGGAAAGAGGAGAGTGAAAAAGCTGGCTTAAACTCAACATTCAAAAAACTAAGATCATGGCATCCGGTCTCATCACATAATGGCAAATAAATGGGGAAACAATGGAAACAGAGACAGACTTTATTTTCTTGGGCTCCAAAATTACTGCAGATGGTGACTGCAGTCATGAAATTAAAAGATGTTTGTTCCATGGAAGAAAAGCTATGACCAACCTAGACAGAATATTATAAAGCAGAGACATTACTTTGTCAACAAAGGTCCCTCTAGTCAAAGCTATGGTTTTTCCAGTAGTCATGAATGGATGTGAGAGTTGGACTATAAAGAAAGTTGAGCACCAAAGAATTGATGCTTTTGAACTGTGGTGTTGGGAAATACTCTTGAGAGTCCCTTGGACTGCAAGGAGATCAAACCAGTCCATCCAAAAGGAAATCAGTACTGAATGTTCATTGGAATGACTGATGCTGAAGCTGAGGCTCCAATACTTTGGCCACCTGATGCAAAGAACTGACTCATTGGAAAAGACCCTGATGCTTGGAATGATTGAAGGTGGGAGGAGAAGGGGATGACAGAGGATGAAATGGTTGAATGGTGTCACCGACTCAATGGACATGAGTTTGAGCAAGCTCTGGGTGTTGGTGATGGACAGGGAAGCCTGGTGTGCTTCAGTCCATGGGGTCGCAAAGAGATGGACACAACTGAGCGACTGAACTAAACTGACCTCATATTCCCAGGTCTTCCTAGGTGGCACTGTGGTAAAGAACCCACCTGCCAATGTAGGAGAACTAAGAGACATGGGTTTGATCCCTGGGTCAGAAATATCCCCTGGAGGAGGGCATGGCAACCCACTCTAGTATACATGCCTGGAGAATCCCATGAATAGAGGAGCCTGATGGGATATATATAGTTCATAGGGTCTCAGAGAGTTGGACATGACTGAAGGGACTTAGCACACATATACTCACATTCCCAATCCTAAGTCTTCACACTGCATGGTAAACAGAGCTTTTCTGTAGGGCTGGGATTCTTTAAGGATTCTCAGCATAGCTCTGTCAATCTCAAAACCCTAGGTTGCCAAATACATCATGATGTCCTTTTCCTTCCATAACGATTATGCATATAAATAAGCTTTTGCATAGAGATTGGTTCTAATCCATTGGGCAATCCTGATATCAAGTTTACAAGAAGGAGATAGGTCTACTATACAGAGTGTAACAATGTAGTTACAAGCCTGTTTCAGAGTTTGGATTCCTTTTACCATACTCAAAGTGGACAAGTTCAGTCCTGGCAAAATAATGGGGTGGCTCCTTGATGGTTCAGCAGGTTAA